TTAAAGTACTGTTATCTTCATTAAGAAGATAAAGGCGTAGTCCCATATAATGGGACTACGCCTTAAATATTTTGTCCAGTCAAATCCAACCATGCTGAATTGAAATAATTGCTGATCTTCCTCACTCAGATGACTCCACATCGCTTGAACATTGTCAGTGGAAAAACTCCATTCATTATTGCAAAACGGTTGGAGCGCGTTGGAAAGTTTGTCGATCTTTTTACACAACTTCCACATTCTGAAATGCATATAAAACTATTATAATTGTTTATATTATAGATGACATTTTATTTGGTTTCGATACAAACTATGAGATATGTATATACTTCAAGTAAGAGAAACAACTTTTAAATTTACGTGATACCTTGGGCTACGATTTATACAGATGTTTACAGCATCTATAAATAAAGCCGGAAGGAAATGACCGAGCCAAACGCAAATTCTATATGGTATTTTATGTTGAAAGTGAACCAATAAGGGTAAATATATGGCATTATGCAAGGGGTACATCCTATTTGCGTCGTGAAGTGCATGAACATATTCATTCAAAGTAGGTCCATTGACTGGTGACACGAAATTGTAAATTAATGTATCCTTGTCTCTCCTACAAGATGAATGCATTTAAACATAATTATGTTGTACATTATACTTCTTTACGTATCAGAGTCATTTATGATCATATGCTAATGTTTATATGTGTCTGTGATTACGGTAGTACCTAATTGTAAGTAGCTATTTGTAATTAGTAAAATATATTTAAGTATTTGTAAGCAGTAAAATTTGTAAGTAGTAAAAGTAATTGTAAGTAGTAAAATATATTTAAATACACATATTCGTATACGAGTGTGTTTCATGCTTTTTAAAATAGCCTCTTCCCCACAAACTATAGTATTTTGGAATACATTTATTATATAATATTTGCGATATTCAGAAAAATGATAATAGCAACTGAATACTAATTCTCCTGTTTTTTCAATCTGTTAATTTTCATATTTAATTGTTATATCTTGATGTTAGTTTTTTACAAGCATTAAGAAATTATATATCTATATATATATATATATATATATATATATATATATATATATATAATAAGTCATTAAAAATTATGTCTAAAAAATAATCTAAACAACTTATGAGATTGAACCATTATTATGTCATTATCTGATAACAATGTTTAAAATAGTAGAAATAGAATTTTATGTAAATTAGCTTCGGAGATGTTGGTTAAATATTGGATCATACCTGAATTGATTACAGACATCCCACGCACTAGCGATTAAAGCATTTACCGTGAAGTCGACAGGCACTATATTTGCCTTGAAATCGGAATTATAACGATGAAATCTTGTGATACCAAGTAGTGAAGTCACCGTGACACCTTGTGGCCCATACATATTGTCTATTCATCCGACAAGTGGCTCATTGGCGCTAGATAGAACTGAAAAAAATTTTAATTATTCCACGTTATGCAGATTCGCAAGAATCAAACTTATTGTAAGCTAAACGCGACACACGCACACACACACACACACACACACACACACACACACACACAGCCGCGACGGTTTATTATTATTTTACAATTATAGAATTTTATAGCACATAATTATGCAAACCAGTTGAAAATAATTACATATAAATGTTATTTAATAAATTCTTTAGCAAAAAAACTGCTAGTTTTTATAATTATTCTATTACCTACTGCAGGTCGAAATATTCCTACTGGCAAATCTCTGCTTTCGTCTCTGAGAAGTCCTTCCGCAATCGCTTTCGTGAATGTATATGTATTCGGCCATTGTGAAATGATTCTAGTCAAACGGTAGAATATATTTCTTTATTAATATATGTAATTATTATGTTATATTGAGCATCAAAGAATTACCTAGATATTTTTTCCTCGATTATATTTTTGTGTAAGTTCCGTGTGAACATGATAAGGTCTTTGTGGTTAATGGGATACGAATAAAATCGCTCTTCGATGTGTTTCACATGGCAGTTCGCATAAGCTGTTGACACGTGAATAAGTGACTGCAAGGTAAACATTAAGCGTAATTTATGTTTTTCTCTTAAAATTAGTGAAAATTGCAAAATATAAATAATTATTATTACTAGAACACATATTAGATATAAGAATTACTTTTAAATTTAGCATGTGCTTTGCGAGCTTTAAGATGGTAGCGGTAGCATTAACGTTCATTATCGTAGAAGTTTTGATGTTCTCGATGAACCGTACATTTTCTGCTATGTGAAAAATTATGGATGCCTATAATAAATAATAAATATACATGTTTTAAGAAGGAAAAATATTAAAAAAAAATACACAATTTATTTCTAATTGCATCAATAATTATAATTATATATATATATATATCTATATCTATAAAGGAAGATGTCCTGACTGACTGACTGACTGACTGACTGACTGACTGACTGACTCATCAACGCCCAGGCCAAACCCCTGAACCTAGAGACTTGAAATTTGGAGGGTGTATTCCTCTCATGACGTAAGCATCCACTAAGAAAGGATTTTTAAAAATTCCACCCCTAAGGGGGTGAAAAGGGGTAAAATGTGTTTTTTTCACGATTGTTCTGACTGACTGACTGACTCATCAACGCCCAGCCCAAACCCCTGAACCGAATTTTTACCAAAAGTATATGAAATAGGGGTAGAATTTTCCGGGGAGTGCCACTATGTGTATAGTTTTTTGTTACCGATTTTCTGGAAACCGATTTTTTTTATTTTTCCTATTTTTCGAAAAATAATTGATCAAATCTCAACAAATTATAGATCAAACAGGGGTAGAATTTTCCGAGGAGTATTATGAAGTGTATAATTTTTCGTTACCGATCTTTTGGAAGTCGGTATCGAAATTTTTTCAAATAATTTTTACCAAAAGTATATGAAATAGGGGTAGAATTTTCCGGGGAGTGCCATTATGTGTATAGTTTTTTGTTACCGATTTTCTGAAAACCGGTTTTTCTAATTTTTCTAATTTTTCGGGAAATAATTCACCGAATTTCAAAGAATTGTAGATCAAACAGGGGTAGAATTTTCCGGGAAGTGCTATGAAGTGTATAATTTTTCGTTACCGATCTTTTGGAAGCCGGTATCGAAATTTTTTCAATCTTTCGGGAATTAATTGACCGAATCTGAAAGAATTGTATATAAAGTAGGGGTAGAATTTTACGGCGAGCGCCATAATGTGTTCAGTTTTTGTTACCGATTTTTTTGGAAATCGGTTTTTTTAATTCTTTCAATTTTTCGAGAAATAATTGATTAAATGTCAAAGAATTATACATGAAGTAGGGGTAGAATTTTCCGGGGAGTGCTATAAAGTGTACTATTTTTTATTACCGATCTTTTTAAAAACCGGTTCCGAATGACCGAATCTCAAAAAATTGTACATAAAGTAGGGGTTGAATTTCCTGGGGAGTGCTATCAAGTATATAATTTTTTGTTATCGATCTTTTTGGAAAGCGGTATCAGAAGTTTGACGAATTTTCGGGAAATAATTAATCGAATTTTAAAGAATTGTATTTAGAGAGAGAGAGAGAGAGAGAGAGAGAGAGAGAGAGAGAGAGAGAG